TCAAAACGTCGAACTCGAAGCCAAGAGAAAAATTGCGCTTCGTAAGTCCACCGAGCGCTCAAGGAATCCAAGAGCTAAGAAAAAACAAAAAGGACAGGCAATATCGTCTACCTGTGAACGCGGCTTAATCGTATATTTCTGCCCCCTCCCGAGTAAAATTTACGACCTTCGATTAATAATATTCGTACAAAAAAAGAGTACGCCCGTTCGATTAAGCAATCCGCGGATAAAACTTCACTGGGCGCCACTGTAAGTCACACCGTGGCAGACCAAAATAAATCCCACGAGTGTCGCTCCAATGAAAATTCGTCTTACAGTTGTCGGGAATTCGTAGCAAGTAAAAAAAAAAAAGAAATTACCCTTCATTGCTACCCACGTCAATAACGCCTATTCCATATGTACATTATCCCTATCTAACAACCTATTATTCCTATACCCCCTCCACAAAAACGTCAAGGCCCATACCCATCGTACGGACAATATAATAAGCATACGTGCTAACGAACGTTACGTAAAACCAAGGGAAAAACTCACCTTAATGCTGTCGTAGCAGGCGGTGACCCGTCCGTTCTGCACCTCGACGTTCGCCGGGGGATGAGCGAATTTGCACTCCGTGTCAGGCCTGGTGCACTTGTTGCGTTGAAATTCCCTGCAAACCTCAAGCTGAAGCCACCGGGAGTCCTTTCCGTTGAGGAGGTTGTTCATGTTGACCATAGCCATCTTCGAGCCGTTCTTCGAGAATAAACTCTCTTAGGACAGATTCAGAACTCGAATTTAAAACTGAGGTCGACGACGAGCCAACACTTCGAACTTTATCCCTTCTTTTTTTCTATACCCTCTATATATATATATTCTCGTTCAATATTTTTCCCTTCCTTGTTATTATTATTATTACAAAAACGCGACAACCACGTTTCACCGTACTGTCACCGTTCTGTCCCTTATACGATTTATTATGTCGCTCGCTGTCACACGCACATACACACCACACACACACACAAAATGGCGAGACTTCTTTTCTTTTTTCAAACTATCTCCGCCTATATCCTCACCGATATAACTCTTATGCGAAAAAAAAATATATCTATTAACTCTGTTTATCACGGGGTTTTTCTATTTTCTCGGTCTCCTTCCTTCTCCCTTCGTTTATCCTTATTTCTCGTTTTCCCTCCTGATCCTCTTCCTTTAGCACTTTTGCCTTGTCTCCTCTTGCACTTTATCACTGTATCCTCCTTCCGTGTCGTAGGTCGTGGTCACTGTGTTTTAGGCGTTACTATCGCACGCTTGTTATATATATATATTTATAGATATATATATATATAACCTCGTGCTTATGATTTTTCACATATGTATATAACATACATATATAGAGATCCTTTTATCTCTTATATTCTCACAAACACTATACGCTTTTTTTTACGATAAAATATCCTCTATCACTCTTGGTTATCGATGTACGGGTGCGTGTTCTGCGTGTTAATTTTTCTTTTGCCCACGGGATTATGCCGATTTATTCGGTAATAACTATTTAGCTATCGTTATTATCGTTATTGTATTATTATTGTTTTTTCTTTATTAGTATTATTAATATTATTATTAGTCGTAGTAGCTAGCAGTAGTAATAGAAGTAATAGTGTGGTAGTAGTTTAGTAGTAAATAGTAAACAGTAGTAACGTCAACGTGAGGATTTTCGCGTATGCGGTCGTAGTTCCGGTAACGATTTACAGGATTGACAGTAGCGACAGTGGGTCGTGATGCAAGCGACGTAACGATCGTTAGTTCGTCAGATATTAACGTTCGAGGCGAGTGAATCTTCAGTGCTGTGTGTCAAGGACGATCTTCGTGGATACGTAGGATCTGTGAATGCGCGTCACCGAATAAAGATCCGAGAGGATTCTGTTTTCCGAAATTTCTACTGTCACCAATGAAAAAAGAAAAAGCAAATTGCGCGATATCGTATCGAACGATTGATTGTTATCGAAAATATATATTAGAGTTACGTTATACCGGCAAGGTCGTGACGATTACTTTTGTGTATTCACGTTAGAAGAGACGACCCCTCGCGTACGGCTGCCGAAGTACCACTGGCCGTTCCTGCCACGACGAACCTCCTTTTCACGGTGCGGGGGCCGAAGATTGCCGAAGTAGCGGAGCCGAGCGTCCCCGAAGAAGTTTCGATGCCGAGCGCGAATTCGTCGAGGCGCAACAACTTTGTGGCAGCTATATAAACAGGTTCGGCGCTGTATGCCCTTTCACCGTGCAACGCGTGTCCACGTGAAAGGTATAGAGGCGAGTGCACGTAAGAAGTTACTAGACCGCTGGTGTATTTGCGTGGCGAGTAAGTATGAAAGAAGCTGTAGTCCTTACGAGTCGACTACTGTGGGCTGCTTAGGCTGACAATTTAGCTGGGACTAGAGGGGGGATGGCTGAGACGTGTTTTGACGCGTCCCAAAACCTAAGCCGGTCGTGGATTCGTCCTTCGAGCCACGTCGAGTCCCTCGGGTAGCGTCCAGGTAGTAGAACGACGGCAACGTGTCGAGGGCGAAAGATAAAGGCCGTGAAGAAGGTAAAAGCGTGTAGCGGCGGAGCGGCGGTTTCCTCGCGAAGCTTTTTGAGAATCTAGTTGGTTGGAGATTGACGATTGGTGCGTGGGATGACTGGCAGGCGAATGGCAAGAGCTGCTGCTGCTGATGGCGATGACGACGGTGGTGGCGGTGGTGGTGGCGGAAGTAGTGGTGGTGGAGATTGCGATGGTGATGGCGTTTACGTTGGTGGCGGACAGGAGTAGGGAATGGCACACAAGGCGGGCGACGAAGCGGTGGGGAGTGGAGGTTAGGGTCGGACCGGGTCGGGGAGGGGGAAATAGCGAGTTAGCGTGACGTCACTTCCGTTTCTCGATTTTTACGTCATTTATTCAGCGCTCTCCTGGCACTCTTCGCGGATGAATTCTCAGGGACTCCTCTTCTGAAATCAAGTAAAGACACACAGAGTTAATGATAGGCACTGCGCGGAGAGCGGCTGAGAATAATTTTATTTTACAAGAAAAAACGAAAACAAAACCAAGTATATGGGCCAAGCAAATGAGAGCCACGTGTACACGATACGTCTGGCGATCTAGCGTAGCGCATAAGAGCGACCGTGTCGCGATCCAATCGTCTCATCTGTCGTGTTTGGCTCTCGATATATTCGAAGTATCCAGTGAGTACAGCATTTTCCGAGCACCGCCGAACGGACCCGAAGGCTTCGGAAAGACATTCCCGTCGTGCCTGACGAGCGCCAATGAGAGGGAGCGAGTAGGCTGGGTCAACGGGCGAACGAGGGAACGAGAGGAAGAGCCCAATATCGGACTGCGCGACGTCACGTGACGCGAGGCGAGCGCTGCGGGTGCGACTTAGAAAAAAAAAAATACCAACTTCATTACAGCCTAACCTTAAAGATGATTGTATCGTAAATAAAATAAAATTCAATCACGCAATAACCATTTGAATGTAATCCCGGCCCCGTCATATACCAGACCCAAAAAAAAAAGAGTAAATAAAAAAAAAATATCAAGACAATAGAAATTTCTGGAAGAAGAGCGTCGCCACAAAAAAGGAAAGCAAACAACACCACAGTCCTATAACAAAGAATCGAACGAAAGCATTGTCTTTTATTGTTTTCCTCTCTTTAAAAGATCTTCCAAGAATTTCTCTGTGCCACTTCGAGCCGTAAGACGGCAAAGCCATCCGGGGCTCCTCGGTTTCTCGTATTGCCAACCGTTCGCCATAGGTACCGGCTCTGACGTCATCGGACGGCACCAGCGTCATTCTTGCAAATGGCGTCGTGCATCCAGACTCCCTCCCCTCAATCTCCTCCTACACCCCCTCTCACTCTCTCTCATAAACACGCCGCCTTTCACGCATCCAAAACTATGGTCTCCGCGATCATCCTTCCTTCCGATTAACTGTCCAATCTCATTCAGCGTTACCAAAGCCAGATAACCTCCGCGCACTGATGCAACATACCAGTATGAGTATATAATTAAAAAATCACATATGCACTCACGCCATAGCAAACCCGTGAATTATAGCCCAGAGTCATTGTTAATTATCGGTATCACCCCCCCTGCCCTCTTCCAGCCCCATTAACAGCCTGATTAACATCTTCGACTAAACTTCCCCGTATAATCCATATATCCACACATGCCACACATGAACACGTGCGCGCATCAGCTTCGTGCCGTTCGCTCCATTCACGTTCAAGAAAACCAGGGCCGAACCCCGAAATCGATAACCCGACGCCAAACCCATAATTCCCCAGGGCCTCGCGAAAAGGATCATCCCCGACAAACACCAAGAGTCCAGTCGACCAGGATAACCAAACGAACGTAGGATAACTTAAAAATCCCCAAAGTCCAATTTCCAGCCCTTTAACCCGCGACGAACGACGACCCTAAAAGATTCGCGATGACGTCACTATGCCCAGCAAGGGGCTTTGGACCGTATAAAAGAACTACGTTACACCTGGCCGAAGGATAAACTTGCTAATAACGAGCCGTTATCACTGACAAAGAGGAAGTAAGTGCACGAGCGTAATCTTCGTGAAATACAAGAGCGTACGTGAACTCATATGCAAAGGTGCATATGGGAATAAATATTACGATAGGGTGGAGGGCGGTGGGGTAGGGAGTGTATATTACACGTAGAGACGGTCCATCGTAAATTCCTTGCTCGTTGGACAACCAAGCCGTTTCCGTAAAACGATTCGTTATGGCGGCGTTATCGAGGAAATAAGTGGATCGCGATAAAGCCTGTTCTCACGGGTGACCGAAGAGCGAACTGTATGAGAGAGAGAGAGAGAGAGAGAGAGGGAGATAGTGGGATCATACTCGGTCACGTGGTGCATGAGGAAGGTACGGTAGGAGAAAGGTAAAGAGGGAAAGAGAGAGAAGAGAATAGAAGAAGCAGCTAGCCCTGTATCTACAATTAACATCGGTCCATTACGCCATGTTGATGTGTATATATATATATATATATATATGAACGTAGCTGCTCGACACGAACAGCTACCCCGTCGGACTATAGTAACGGAGTAATACGTTGATATGGTAAATTACACGCGTAAACGAGTATACGTATATGTAGTATGGTGGACTTCCGGTTGATACGTTCTGCGACATTATATACGTTTACCAGTAGTGCGAATTGAGTCTCGTGAGTCTGAATTTCGTGCGAGTCCTCCGGTTCAGCATTGATAAGAAAGTAGTATTGATAAGGAGAATATCTATGTATACATATAGGATAGACGGTAGGGGTGCGATAAGAGGTCTGTTAGAATGGCGGGGAAGTTGGAACAAGAGAGAGAGAGAGAGAGAGAGAGGGCGAAAAGTAGAGCATTTGAAAGACAAGATCGTCGCGGAGTTATCACGGAGGGACTATAGCACGTAAGGCGTATGTGATAATACCCACTTTCCTGTAATTGGATATCAAGCCGTGATTCGATGTCTCAGCTACAAATTTGATATCGGTATAGTGTTATGCTACGAAGAGAGTGTAGGACGGGTTGTCAAGTAAGGGCTGCGCACCCCGAGATTCGTTATATTGGCTTTTGAATTTCGTAAAGGGATTCACTTGAGCAAGTAGCGGGAAATGCGAATCGAGGGGAAACGTGGGAGAGTAGAGAGGGGGTAACGGAGGGGTAGGTAGTAGGTAGGGATAGTACGGGGTAGAAAAAAAAAAAAAAAAAGTCATATCTACGGAGAATGATATTCGGTTTTATAGCGAATTTTATCAGTCGCCATTTCGTTACGTTGGGGGGTCCAGTGTAATTAGCCATTGGCAAATAGCTCTGCGGAACTGCAAGGTTCCCGAAGCGCAGACCAATTGCGTAATTTCACACGGTACCCCCAGAGCCCTCCCC